GAGCAGGGGAACATAGGTACTGGGAACTACACAGGGAGCAGGGGAACATAGGTACTGGGAACTACACAGGGAGCAGGGGAACATAGGTACTGGGAACTATGCCAGGAGCAGGGGAACATAGGTACTGGGAAAGGGAGCAGGGGAACATAGGTACTGGGAACTACACAGGGAGCAGGAGAACATAGATACTGGGAACTACACAGGGAGCAGGGGAACATAGGTACTGGGAACTACACAGGGATCAGGAGAACATAGGTACTGGGAATCACACAGGGATCAGGGAAACATACAGTACTGGGGAATGTGTGCACTGGTGGGAATAGGGATCTGTGGAACACATGGATACTATCTGTGGGAAATGAAGGGATTTTTTTATCTTTAATAAAAAGCCTCGTAATTTAATATACAATTACAAAATATAATGCATCCACATGATGTTCAAAACAGAATAAATTGTCATCTCAGTGCAGACCATCCCACCGGGTTCCTTTTGTTCCAACTTAGCCTTTAAACAGGTGCTCTGCTTGTTCCATCAGGTGCTTCGTTAGGTTCCAGGTACAACCACTTGAGCCATAGAGGGAGGTGTCTGCTCAGTAACCCACCCAGAAATAAAAACAATAGAAAAGATAGCTGGAAAAGGAACACAACATTAAGAACAACCAACAATGATGAAAGCAGGGACAGKTATGTGACTTCATCATGCACTTTATACTACTTCAACAGTTACATAATCTGCCTGGTGAATTCCAAACACAGCCAGTAAACAAGGCAGAGTTCCCTTTTTTAACACAGACGTTTAATTACTGTGGCAGACTTGACTTAAGGAAGAACAATGTGTGCAAATGAAGAGAGCCAGATGACTTCTGACCAGACAGGAGAGGAAGAGTCCAAGTTCAACATCAGGCCACAGGAGCACCGGTCTGTCAGCTAAAGATACAGCGGGTAAAATAAGTATTGAACACGTCAACATTTTTCTCAGTAAATATATTACTAGAGGTGCTAATGACATGAAATTTTCACCAG